ACATATTCGTGATCACATGCCACAATAATAGTATTGTACCAAGTTTCAGACAATTTTGTGTTTTTCGCTCAATTAACTTAAGGCTACAGTAGTACCGATTTGTGGCCCCGTAGCGAAAAATGAATATCATATCCGTGGTCAGCATGCGAAATAACCCCATTGTACCAGGTTTCGACAATATTCGTAATTTTTGCCCAATTACAGTATCCCTACCCTAACCGCGCTATATGGGCGAATGGTGAAAAATGTACATCATATTCGTGATCAGCGTGCCAAGAAACCCCACAATACCAATTTTCACTCGATTTAGTAATTTTCGTCCAACTGCCGTATAGCTACAGTAATCCCGACTTGTGGTCCCGTAGCGAAAAATGAGTATTATATTCATGATCAGCGTACCATAAAACCCCACTGTGCCAAGTTTCAGGCAATTTCGTGGTTTTCGCCCAATTACCGTATTCCTACCGTAGCCGCGCTACATGGGCGAATGGCGAAAATGAGCATCGGACTCATGATCAGCACGTCCGATAACCCCGGGACCAAAATTTTACAAAATTTCAAATTTTTGTGTTCAACGGTGCACCATGATCTCCCATCGTGCTTGGTAAAACTCGGAGCAAAATCTACCCCGGAGGACTTTTTAGCTGCACCTCTGCGTGCGCACTATTTCTCTTTCTCTAACCAAACTCGGAGTTAACTCTGAGTTTGGTGCGCAAGCCTGAAACGCACACCAAACTCAGAGTTAACGCGCAGCTCAGCTGCGCGTTAAGTCGCGTAGCGTCTCGCATGGAAAGAGTTAGGCTACGTTCCCATACTTGGCATAAAGTACGTGTTGCGGGGTATCCTGCCATATCACCCTTTCCCCAATTTGGTTTGTTTATGCAGGTGTTAATGGTCCCCGAAAGGTGCGCGTTAACTCAGAGTTAACTCTGTATTAACTCTGAGTTTGAGCTGGTTTCGACAGGTTTACTACCGGCTCAGGCCTTAGATCGAAGAGTCTGAGGAGGCAAAAAATGAAAAGTCGTTGTCTTTAGTGGTTGTCTCAATTCTTGCTATAGGTGTCACTTCGCTATAATTGCATGAAAGAGGAGAAAATTCTGTGTTGGAGGCAGACTAAGCTATTTGTTTATTATTACTAGGGTTGTGGTGGGCTAAAAGAACGTACAAAAGAGGAACTGAATTCGATATTTTCCATAATTAAATCTCGTAGAGGGCTGAAAATCTATGTGGCTGCAAAGATTAATAGTGTGCATTTCCTGATGGGAATAGCCCAGAATTGCTCTAAAATGAAATCTTCGTTCCTTCGATTCTTAGACATGAAAAATTCACATCAACTATGCATACGAATATCTGATGTGGAATGTATATCCTTGAAAAGTTGAGAGTCTATAGGATTTTTCTGAGTGAAGGTACACAATGTTTTATTTCCTGGGCATTTGGAACCCTCTAGAATTTGACTTTAAGTTTGACGTAGCCCGAACTTATTTCGGTTGTTCAAATCAAATCGTGAAGCTTGTTCTGTTCTACCAAATAATATCTCAAGCACTTTATTTTGTGTTCACCCTGTTTCGGTAGCATATGATGGCACAAAATGCGACATTTTTTTTCCAATCTGAAAGTAACAAACTGATAGACAAATGCCGAACTTATTAAACAACCTTATTGCACAACAGTATCGTCAAAACCAACAGCAACTGTTATCTGCACTTAGTCTCTACTCTTTATATTTTGAAATGCTCAACTTCAAGTATTTCAGGTTAATTGCCGCTATGTTAGGTTCTGTAAGCCGCGAGTATGTAGCCAAAAGTCCTCCAATCAATCTAGAAACACACGATTTTGCCGAAGGTTGCTAAACATCAAAATTCCAACTCTCAAGAAAATAAAATTGAATGATTTAGATATCGTACAAGCAACACAAAGCGAACCAATTGGTCACATTTGTTAATGCTTTGCAGCAAAAACAGGGCCTTTTTTGCGGCAGCAAAGTGTTTAAAGTCGACGTAATTGCCGTTAATAACGAACAGAGGGTTGGCAGAGGTACATTGGTTCTTACCTTCTTACAATCTCTCATTTTCAGGCGAGGTTTACGAACAGAGGGTTGGCAGAGGTACATTGGTTCTTCCCTTCTTACAATCTCTCATTTTCAGGCGAGGTTTATCTAAGGAGCTAGTGCGGCGATTAGTTGAGACAGCAAAGACTGCGGAGAATGGAGAATGTGGAGAATGCATCGGTTTGTTGCACACTGCTACTTGCCTCCATTTGTTCAGCTTCTGTACTTGGTGAGTCCTGCACAAAATATTTGGGTAGCAGTTGCTGCTACTGCATCTGCCTCGCAAGGAATTTTATCACGGGTGATTCAGATGAGGAGCAAAAAGGAAAAATAATCAAGAATTCTTCAGTTAGGATTTGAAACTCTCTATGAAATTCCCTACACGATGTTTCGTGAAAATGGAGTCGCTGTGTTTCAAAATCTACATGAAGGATGTCAAAGTGGCAAATTTATGGCATTGCGCGTGACCTAGTAAATAAATAAATGCTCTGTAGGTGTGGTGTATGTCATTTTACAGCTGCAGTTCAAGTGAACATGCAAGTTTTTGATTTTCAAGAATTTGTCTTAGCCTTTCTAGCTAAGTCTTTGCTGATTCCGGTGGCATTTCAACTGAAAACGAGAAAGCCTGCAACAAAAACTTACGGCTACCTCCCAAAAGTGTTATCACAGATTTGGTATTTCTCAGATAAATAACATTGCTTTATTCCATTTTTACGTTCAAGGGTGTGCCGCTGCGCTAGAAGACACAAACTAATCGTCAGTGATCTTAGGACTGACATCAAAAAGAGAAAAAAACGAAAGAAAAGTCATACGAAAGTTTTCAGAACGAAGAAAGGAAGCAGCGATTGAGAATACCATGTAGAAGGGTCAACGACTCCATAAACCAATCCTGCCAACATTGACAGCACAGCTATACAGTAAGAATTCATGGGGGAGGGGCAGCACAAGCATAGAACGGGAAAATTAATCACATCATCTATCCTAATCATGATTTACAATGCCGCTCATAATTCGTCAAAAAAGTGGCCGGACTGCGTCGCACTCCGGCCACTGCAGCACACTCCGGCGGAGTGCGACGCAGTCCGGCGACTTTTTTAACGAATTATGAGCGGTGTTGTATAAATAAGAAGCTAAGGATTGTTGACGTCTGTTTGCTGTCTGTACGTCCTGCCACGAAATTCGTGAACCGAGTTACAGACAAGCTCAAACTAGAATTTTGATCATAACATCTGTCAGCATTTAGGTATAGTTCATTTATAGAATCGTTGTAATGGATTTGACTGCGGACCTTGCGCCCACAGGAGTATGAACGATCATACAAGAAGGCACCACCTCAACGTTCAGCTCAGTCATTTCCAGTGTTTAAATATTATCATATGTAAGCAAAAAAACCATTCGACTAGAGATGAAAACCAAGAAAATTCCATTTCCGGAAGTTGCGTGTGTGGAAGGGGCGCGCGGTTGCGCCATCGTCGCGATTTCTCATCGAAAACTTGTTTGAAAGTGAATTCGCAAATTATGTGAACATCACGCCTGTGTGTGTATATGTGTGTGGTGTGTGATGTGTGTGGTGTGTGTGTGTGGTGTGTGCGTGTATGTGTATGTGTATTTGTATTTCTCGAGCTCCCAGTTAGAGGACTGAGGACATTTTTGCTTATAGATACAGCTCATGACGACCCTTGCCCGCTACATCACCTAACAAATCATAAGGAACTGAGCAACTATTAACTATCAACACCAAGTCGCTAGCAGCGCATTTATACTTGAAGATACGCAATTTTAGAAGTGCAAGTCGAGGGCCATATGACCGTGGATAAGGGTAATGAAAATCAAGAAAACTTTTGTCGAAAACTCTAGTATATCATTGAGTGAGGTATCACCGTAGTAAAGCCTAGGAATTTAGCTTTTGCTAAAGTAGTTCTGCGACTTGGTTTAAGTCAAGGATTGTTGGTATGAAGTTACACCTTGTGTTTACTAAGCTGAAAAACAGCAATAGAAAAGTTCGATAATTTCTACAACGGCTAATGCAAAACCGAGTGCTACATGTGCTACAGATTGATATCCTCAGTATGCCCGACTTTCTTGGGTAACCATGGCTACTTGTTTCCAACATCTTGTTCAAAATTCAAAAGAACAAACTGCTTGTCATCCAGATTATGTGTATAAGATACACACAAGAACTCCGCCCCGAACGACCAATCCTAGTTGGATTGGATCTTCTGCAACAGACGGTTACTCTAACTGGGTGCCAGTCTCTCTACTGCGACTGCGCTACAAAAATCTGAATTGGCAACATGTTGAAATATCCAGCACACTTTGGCTGGAATGTGCACCACAATTTTTTGATTGTTGGCTACAGACCGTAATTCCAAAATCAATTTTCTCAATGTTATTTCCCAGGTCTACATTGCTGAGCCTTTTTTCCACAGTTTTGATAGCCGGACTTAATTTTTATCTGAAAGGTATTGTGTACTGTTGTGGAACGCGTTGAGCCGTTGACGATTTATTAGAAAAACACAAAGATTCCCCTTATACACATTGGCGTATATGCCGCGGGTTCACTAGGATCAATGCAATAACAACACGTAAACATAATCAAGGTGCGGCGGGTACGCCGCAGCCGCCTATGTCACCTCAGCCTTAGCTATCAATAATGAGCGAGTTCTAGTTCACACTGAACAGCTCTACAACATGTACAAAACCTATAATAAAAAAAAGGCAAGTAAAATTTTCTCATCTCAGCCGTATTCGATGTAAAAAATTTGACAATGAGATTTAGCTTAGAAGGAAAGTAAAGAGATAGAAATTGCACTGTATAAGCAATCTCCGACATCCTACAAACTGGACATATGTATTACACGACTGCTCCGGACAAAAAAAGCGAAGCACATTATTAAGAAATTTTTCCAGAAATCTCTGTGTTGTTGGTCCCTCCCAAAGCTTTGAGAATATGATTGCAGTGTCCAAGATTGTCTTCGCTGTCGGACAGGTGAGCTCATATAGGTTTGCATGCATCAAAAAGGGTTTTGCACTTACAGGTGATCCTGACACATTCTTCCGTTTTTCGTAGCCAGGAAGAAGTGGCTTTCGGAAATCCTCTATACTATTTCTACGCCCCTAATCAACAAATGTGCTTGAAGGCTTGTTATGAAGAGAGTAACTGCACTTATGCAGTCCATCAACAGAAAGAAGTATATATGTATTAGAAAAAAAGGCTGAAAGTAGTGTGATATTACTACAGAAACGCTGCGAATTGTACTCGAAAGGCAACCAGTCAATTTCCGGTCGTGTGTACGAACTCTTCCGTCAAGAAACAGATGCGACCTGCCAGACACTGGATGTCGCTCGAAGCATCACATTTCAAAATATACCGACTCCAAGTACCACCTCGAGACCACTACCTTGCTCAACTACGTCAATTGATGCGTCGACCCTCACCACTTTCAAAGCCTCGTATTACAACAATTTTTGTTTTTTCTTTGAAGAATGGGCAGTGGTTCCAAGGGCCTACACCGAATCATCGTACAGGTTCATTTTGATTATTATTGTAAACGGGCGCGACACTAGCTTGAACTTCGCTTATGTATGAATTTTTCCTATAGAAGTGACTGGTTTGATTGTTGTAGGTTGAGTTTCTCCAAGGAACCAAGATCTGGCTGCATATCGGTTCCAGTTTTCAGGAAAACAGGCAAGTTTTTAGCGAGGGATGTCCATCAACATGACCTTCCACCTAAGCTTTAGACAATGTCCAATCAAAAAGAAAATAACTGAACTCAATATGTGAAACTAATTTTTGCTTCAACTTAGCTACCAACACGCGGTAGCTCACAGAATTTATGTGTAGAGTCGAAATCAGCAAGAAATTTTTCACCCAATTCACCCAATCCTAAACGTTGCTCGATCTGCATGTAGATGGTACTTTTATGAGCAAGAGTTCGAAGTTTGATTTTTTGACCACAAATTAAGCTTTTGGGCTACCGCTTGGCAATGACTCAACTAAGCTTTTACTCGGTTCACAAAAGAAGTCCCGAGGGAGGGGCAATGTGTCAAAGGAGGCTCGGGCTCCCATGCCCAATTTCTTGAGTTTTTTCTGCCCGCTGCGACCAAGCTTGTCAGAAGGACGCGTGCACCCACATTTTTTGCTAGTTTGACGTTTGGACCGCGGTCTCCTCTTTCATCTAGATTAAATTCTACTTTCTAAAAAATGAGCTTAGCAACACAAATAAATTTTGCAGACATTTATTTTACAAAGTCATGTTTGCAGCCAAATGTTTGCAGCTAAGCAAAGAGAGGGGGAGGGGGAGCAAAATTTAGGTGTGCTCTTAATGAATAGAGGTTGTGCACGCGCTTGTGTTCACTTGTAAATCATCACAATAGATTTTAAACTCTTTTGCCAGTTCCTTTTTCTAGCACGTGTCTTGCTTATGCACTGCTCACAAACACATACAAATTCTATGAGATAAATGGTCTAAACAGTTAAAGCAAAAAAGTGTTTGACACGGCTCGTCGTATGTCCTTTTGTGAAAGGAGAGCGTGAAGCTAGAACAGTGAACGAGTTTTTGTCGCAGAAATTAGGTCCACTAAGGGAATGATTCCGCAACCTTCATCATGGTAGCGTAAAGCAACACTCAATTTGGTTTACTACTGGAAAAACCAATTAGCTTTGTAAGAATTCTAAATAGTGCCACCATGATTACTCAAGATTTGAAAGCAAAACTTTCCAGAAGTTTTCCGGAGGAGGTGACTGTTGAGATCATTATTCATTAAGCGATAAAAAACTTCGAGCGCCTGAACTTCAAGAAAAGCTTTTATTTGATCAATTTTTTCGCATGCTAACAGCATTTTAGAGAGGAAGAAGTTGCACTTGTCAGTCCCGCTCAAAGCAAGAATTAGTGCTGCCATGTGATCAAGTCGTACCAACGATCCAGTAGAATTTTCAATATTGATAACGGTTCTAGAGCCAACTCTTTTAATTATGTGAGTTTCACGTAATTTGAGGCTCTTACAAATAGTTATCTATTTTGAGTTTTTGTACTTTACATCCGTTTCAAATGTAGTCCTAATACTCTAATAGAAAAGAATATCTAATAGAGTCGCGGAACGTAAATCAAACGGTTTCTAAGCATTTTTAACAAGTTCTATTTATAAAAAAGTGGTCAGAAGTCGAAGTGGCCATTTCAGGCAAGCTGCCTATCATTCGATGGAGCATTCAACGCTATTTCGGCTTTGTATTCCCTATCTGCTTGTGCTTTTGCCTTCTCTTTGCTGGCGCCAGTTTAGCGTGGATGAAGTTACGAGCAGTTTTAGTGCAAAAAAAATCGTACATATGAATTGCGAAATAACCATGTTATTGCACCTTTAGCTCATATTTAGGCTTTAAGAATATAAACTAACCTAGATGCGTGTCCTGGTCCAGCATAAAGCCGAGCATGGGTTTGTGCTGCCAAATTTGCGCTTTGCATGCACGATTTTTCTGCAAAATAATGGCCTGCAAGGCTCATAACTTTTCCCATTTAAGCGCTAAGCAGATATGGAATACAGATTCGAATTCAGCGTTTTATGCTGCATTTAATGCTATGCAGCTTGCTTGAAGTGGCCACTTCGTTAGTCTTTGTTGCATAGTGAGTGTATCTGACAAGGGAAAAAAAATTGGTCGAAGTGGCCTTTTGAAATGAGATGTACACCGGAATTGAGAGCTTGGGATGCTAATTCCAAATCGATGAAGGTTTTTGTCAGCAAGAATTCAAATGCAATTTCAGGGTGAGATCAGCCATAGTCTTTGCCTAACGTTCAAATGAGGCAGCAGCGAGTTGGCACATTTGAATGTAGCTTAATTGTTGCACCAAGTAACCCGGTTACCAGTTAGGCCCTAGGAAGAATGTTAATAATTTTATATAAAATTGCATTTGAATTTTTATTAACAAAAACCTTTATAACTCCTCGCTTAGAAGCCCGCAGCAGGTAGCAAAGGTAGATTTAAATTAGCGTTCCAAGCTCTCAACTCCAGTGTACATCTCATTTTAAAAGGCCACTTCGACCAACTTTCCTTCCCTTGTTAGGAATCTGAATATTTCTGAGAAATGCGGTTCAAAGGAAAGAAATAGATCTTCATCTAAACAGGAAAGGATGCTTGGTGACCCCGGCTATTCATAATGGTTTGTATATAAAAAAATGCGCCATTTAATGTAGGTTCGAATACTGTTTTCCATATTTGCAAAACGAGAACCTGGATGGAGTTGAGATTATTTTTACAATAATGAATTGCGCTAATGCAGAGGGTAAAAAACATTGATAAAAATTTTTCATTACTCTTCAATTACTCTTTAAATGCTAAATATAGTTTGGATAGGTATAAATACAATGTTCACCTTTCAAAATTCTCCGTAGCTTCAAACGGTAAAATAGATCAAATTGGGTGATTCAAGAGTACGCAAATTTTCTACAAAAAAGTGTTCATAACTGCCTTAACTGCCTTGATCGTTTCGCAGATTTCGAGTACAGATGTAGAATTAGCGTTTCGAGTGCACCTTATGGTGTAAATCGCATTCCACATGGCCGGGGTCACCAATTATCCTTTCCTTGTAAGAATCATATGCTCTTGTAAATTGTTCATGTTCAATGGCAGGTTTTTGAGCACTCTTATTAAATTTGTGCAAATAAACTTTTCTGATATATATATATATTTAATGAAGCTAAACTTTCACCCTGAGAGAACGTAGTCAGCGTGTGGATTACATAACTTCAGAAAATGTGTCGAACACGGGCCCCATTAGTAACTATGCTTGCAGAACCAAAAGGGTAGAGAGCAGTGTATACATTATCAAGAGCGGTATCCACCACATGTCATGATCGGGCGCTATTCTGACTTTTGAACGAGCGCCCCTGCTCCACGCGATCTGCGCTCAGACAGCAAAACAGCGCCCGATCAAAGATCAAGATTGGTGAATTCCGCCCCAAATGTGCTAGGTATGCGTAACACGCTTTGTTGAAAAACGCTTGAGCCTATACATAAAAGATTGTTTTGAACACAGCAGAATGTAATCAGTTCTTGATTTTAGTGCTTCGTCGCTTTTACTTCGGAAGTATCTACAACACCACCGGTTACGATTTTGCTAACGCATATGCCTTCGCTGACCACTGCTCTGTCGATTGTTTGGGAACGCAGGCAATTCAAGAATACGTAGATGCACACGGCAACTACATCTATGAAAAGCCAGGAAAAGCCAATCGAACAGTGTCTGACTTGGGTCAGATTTTCTTTGTTGCGAATTTCAAAACAGAGTGAGTGTAGTGCGTACACACATGTCATACGATATAGTGGGTAGTCCATTTTTGCGTGCTTTGTTCTATATTCATAGAGCTGAATAAAGCGATGTAGTTTATACTAATGGTAGATTTTGCATGGTTGTCCGTCCAGATACAAAAATTGCCAAAATATTACCACTGAAGCTAGAACTGCTTATATCTCACAAGAAAATGATCAAAAATCGAAGTGGCTTCACAACAAGCTCATGCCATTGGATGCCATAGAAGCTGAGCTTCCTGCATTTTATATCCGCTAAACGCCTTTTTAACGAAATTATGAGCAGTTTCATAGCGAAAAAAATGGTACAATTTAGGTCATCCAAAAGTTCCCAAAAGTTTTTTTCACATAAGACTTTTCACCAGCATAAGTCTGCTCTTCTTAGAAGCGGAGCACTATTCGAAAGAGTAAAGCAAGCTCTACAAAATGAATCTTAAAAGTCCGTACCAGGCTTGATCCGCATCGAGTTCTAAAAAAAATGGAAAAAAATCCAAAATTCCGAAAAAACAAAAAAAATCGTATACCACTTGCTCACGCATATAGGTATTTTCCGCATCAGACATTTATATACACACTTGCTGCATTTTTTGACGACTAGAAATCGAGAAAGAAATAAAGAGCTTAATTTTTAAACTTTACCTGTAATGAGTCTATGTTCCTCGCAAATGTGTCATTATATAGCTTATTCACTCAAGAATACTCCCACAAATTTGCACCCTTCTATAAGGTGGTGCCTTAGTTTTAGAGAAATATCATTTTGAAGGTACGAATATAAAAAAACTTTTTGGATGATCTAATAAGAGCTGCAAATTTGATCATATTGTCACTTTTCAGCACACCATTAGGTATTGGCTATATTAAGTATCTAATCTAGTTGCGTTTTTTGGCTTAGCCACTAGACGA